CGATCGGGCCCTCGATGGTAATGTCGTCAACCTCACACCAGCCGCCTTTACTTCCCAGGATTTTGCAGGGGACCTATAAAGGCTAGGCCAACCTGTTAAAAGAGAAATCCGACTGCATGCGAATTTGAATCAACACTTGGATCCACAGGCGAGTATCTAGCTGCTACATTAAGGTGGATTCTGTTTGAGGTTTGAACTACAGACCAACATCATGGCACACGGGCAGTAACCCATAAGTACTCCGTTCTTCTTCTAACTTAAGTCTGAGTCCAAAGAAGCTCAGCTCAGTGCTCTGTAGCACCGGCGAAGATCATGAAATATTTAGGGCAGATTTTTAACTCCAAATTTTGCCAGGGCAATATATATATATATATCCACTAGATATCGAGCATGTGATTGAGAAGGACTGTGACTTCCAGGTTATTTACCACAAATGCCAACAGATGCTTTTTGAAAATTGTGAAAGCAGTGGGAATTAGCGTGGGCCATCTTGCATTATGTAAACAAAAAGATTATGTGGTTAATCAAGGACTTCTGTGGTGAGCTGCACAGTGTAACAACAAATTGATCAAAAGGATTCACACACACTATACAAACAATTATTTAACAATGGTTCCAATATTTACAAGAAATATGCCCGGCTCTCTAGCGTAGTGGCTAAACCGGATTGCGCTGAGACCGGGTGACGAACTCCTTGTGGTCCGGGTTCAATCCCGTGGGTAGGCAGGAAAGCTACCTTTCTCCCAGATTTAAGGTATTTACAATGGAATCAAGGCTGAAAGGTTGTGATATCTATAATACCGAGCCTAAGGGTTAACAACTCATGGCTTCTGGATACTAAAACAAACAAACAAGAAATACAACAGTACTAATTCATTATAATGTAAAAATTTATTCTCAATGTGTGAACAAACAATATCACACCAACAACATATTACAAAATGTTCAGTTCATGGTGCTGTTTCACTGACTGCAGCAATAGCCCAGCTTGCTGCACTGAAGATCTTGAGATGAATCTTTGCTGGCAGATTGTTTAAAAATATAGCTGGGCTCTCAGGTCAACCTAGCCTAAAATAAGTACAAAGAAGTGTCTGGGAAGATAAAGGTGGCTGGCATAATGTCCACTACATCAATGATTGAATGCTGGAGAGAATGAGGCACCTGGATGTAACCAGAGGGTCTGGCCGGCACACTACACTCAGAGGAAAGGCAAGACGGACATAAAAACCAGAGTGTGACTGGTATCATCAGTATTGGAACTCTACGATGGCTGCTGAAGATGAGGACGGAGCATACATAGGAATGCCTCGAGTGCTCTGATGACTCACCTCAACTGACTGAGTGCCAGTTGGGTCTATAAAAAAATGTGTCTGATGCACTAATGGCATGAAAATGCTTTTACTTTTCCACAAACAGAATGGATAGCTGACTGTTCAGAATGTTGAATGTTGAATTAAGAATCAACATCACAGCACTCGGGACACTCCCATAAGCGCTCCATTCCCATCTTCAGCAGCAAGCGAAGAGTTAAAATTCCGATGGTACCAGTAACAGTCTGATTGTATATTCGTCTCGCCCCTACCCCGAGTGTCGAGCGTCGGCCAGATCCCCTTGTAACTCCTCGCAGTGCCATTCTCCTCAGACCGAAATGATCTATCTGTTCCTCGGCACTGTTTACTCGCTCCAAAAGGGCCCTCACAACATCCAGATTGTCATATATCAGTTCACCACCAAGTAGTGCAGAACCGGCCAGACTATCCGCCTGCTCATTTCCCAACACACTGGCGTGACCTGGAGAAAATATCCAAAAAATGCTAACAACCTGGGACCTCTGAAGTGATGCTTGCCACTCTGACTGTTCAGCAAGCAGTGGCAAACTACTGAATGTAAAAGTGCTTAGCAGAAGCACACACACAAAAACAGCCAACAAATGCTGGGAATGGTAAAGGATATGCAATTAACTTTATTTTAACACACAAAATATTGCAAATTGCAATGACTAATTCAGCTCTGACAATGAAGTAAATTAACTGCACAGTACATTTCCTGACAATCTTTTCCATTAATTTGGCGTCAAATTCATCAAGTTAACAGAAAAACTGTTCCAAAAGTATTCAGTGAATGAAGGAAACAAGCATTGAAATCCCTACACTCAGTCCCCCTAAGATGTCTCCACCTTGTCCTGGTGGGGAAGCTTGTGTCTCTCAATGACCCTGAGAGCTATTCAGGCGGTAGCATAGCTATCAACAGGGCCTTCCAAGCCAGAAAGGTCGAAGGGTAGATAAAGAGAGACACCCTGGTCCTCCAGGTTGGGGGTTTGAAGCGTTGGGCCAACACCCCCACCTTCGTAAAACTTTATCTTGTCAAGAAACAGATATCTAAGCCTCGATTTTGGATGGATTTAAATGATGAATCTTTGGACCTATCAAAGATGCAAACAGCGGGGAATAGAGAGTGAGAAGCAACAACGAAATTTATAATCTGTTTAAATTACCACTAATCACTGGCATCATGAGAGCTAATAGACTGAAATGGTTGGGGCATATTGAGAAAATATCAGATGACAGAGAAGTGAAAACTGTATACACGAGGTAGATGAATGGTCGTAGGCCACAAGGCAGACCAAGAAGACGATGGAGAGACAATATCCAGACAGACCTGCAAATACTTAGTGTCACCAACTGGAAAGAGAAGGCCAACCAGAGATGAATGGATGTGGGTGATATCTGCAGTAATGAACCCCAAGGGCTCGGAATGCTGAAGAAGAAGAAGACAGGACATTTCAACAACAAATCTGTCTCCTTCTCAGTAGCCAACAAAAAGGTCCCATGCTAATAGTAACAGCTGCAACCTGATTAAAAGTCTGCTAATGTTTTTTCCTCAGCATTGAATATCACTATATCAACTTAGGGGAATGCCAGTGTGTTGGGAACTGAACAAGCAAGCTGGACAGACTGGCTGGCTCTACACAACTTACTGAAATACTGAGGCATGACAAGCCAGACGCAGTTAGGGCCTTGCTGAAGAACGTGTACAATTCTTAGGAGCAAACAGATCACCTCAGTCTGGTGAGAGTGATACAGTGGGAAGTGACGAGGAGATCTAGTCGATACTCGAAGCTCAGAGGAAAGGCAAGACGGATATATAATCAGAATGCTACTGGGACCATTCGTACTGGAACTCTGCGCTGGCTGCTCAAGATGGGGACGGAACGCTCATGGGAATGCCCTGAGTGCTGTGATGTCGGTTCTTGAATCAACTCAACTCAGGGAGAAGTCAGCTTATGTTTTTCTCGCAGCACTGACTATTGCCTTTACCAGCTTAGGTAGTCAGCACACCACACTGTACATTTGATCAGTTCTATTTACTGAAACCATTGGCATCAATAATTATAAGACAGAGAAGATGGCACTAAACTGGACACAATCTGAGAAGATTCAAACAGAGGAGAGAAGGGCATCCAAGAGAAACCCTAAGGTGAAGGTTCATGAGAGAAACCAAAGGTGCCAGACTGAATTTTATCCATGATATCCAACTAAGTGCACAGGATAAAACAGAATAGAGAATTATGTAACAAATAATGGCACAACAGGACAATGAATGTTAAACCATCAGATAGCCAAGCGTTAACGCATTACATAAAAAAAGGTTATGCAGTTACTCTGCCATATTTTCACACCAACACAATCAAATTTGCTACCTTAACAACCAGTGATGGGTAAAGCATTCAATGTGGTCCAATCCTACAAGCCATGAAGCCCGGCTCTCTAGCGGAATTGGCTAAACCGGATTTCGCGGAGACCGGGTGACGTACTCCTTGTGGTCCGGGTTCAATCCCGGGGGTAGGCAGGAAAGCCACATTTTCTCCCAGATTTACGGTATTTACAATCAAGGCCGAAAGGTTGCGATATCCATAATACCGAGCCTAAGGGTTAACAACTCATGGCTTCTGGATACTAAAACAAACAAACAAACAAAACAAACAAACAAACAAGCCATGAAAGGTAAAACGCAGTAGCCTATGCCCCCCCCCCCCCCCCTTCCTGTTTAGGTCCTCTTTAGTTTAGGACTCTCTATACAGTCCAGTGTTCTTCAAACGGTGGGTCGTGGAAAGGTCAAGCTAACCGCCAAACATTTCTGCCTAAACATGTAACTGGGATAGTAGGTACTTTTTCTGTTCCAAATCTGCAGATTTCATCAAATATGAAAATCAGAAGATGTGTCTTCGACTGAAAACTGTGATTTTGTGACATTGAATTTAACAAATTAATAGCTATTTTTGTTTTTGTTTATCAAGTCTCTGAATCTGGTTAACTGTCAGGTGGGCCGTGAAACAATTCCCCTGTTTTTGTGTGTGCCGGCAGCTGTGAAAAGGTTGAGGAACACTGACAGTTTATAAAGTAGACTTCTAGTAATGACTGAAATTAAAAGTAGCCCTCAACGCTCAACATGCTGGTCACCACGGTTACAAACCCTCACAAAAACTTCTTTCTCTGTCTTCGACATCAGCCATGCTAAACATTCAGTCCCATCTGGGTCACATACGGGACAGTGCATCTAATGTCAGCACTGTCTGCCAGACCCATAGCTTGTCTCGTAATGTAGCCCCGCTCGGCCAGACCCCCAACCTTTGCCAGGAGCTGTTAGGCCTCACAAAGTTAAAAAGGCATATTCAGACATGCATTCTTTCTTGGTTTCATTTAGACAAAAATGAACTCAGGTGGGTCACAGCCCATGCTATGCTCTTTAAGTTACGAGTTGCGTTATCATCATGGCACTCAGGACACATCCACAGCTGCTAAGATTCCCACTTCAACATACACACCCGCACCCCATGGCCAACAGCGCCAGTCCTATGCTGGTTAACAAGACTTTTTGTTCATCCAGTCTGCCTCTCATACTTGGCTGTGCTGATCTTTACTCCCAATTCTCGCCTTCTTAGCAGTGATGAGGATATGCTGCTCCCACAATCCTCTAATTGTCCTAGCTCTCTAAGGGCATTACTCCGCTCTTTGTGACAGCTTGGTTGGAGCAACTTCAGAATCACAGTTTGTTGCCCCTGAGAGTGAGCTTGATGCACAAACAGATCTCAGCTCCTTCTCATCCAACATCTTAAACTCCAGCTCACATTCGAAGACTTCTTGGAAGCCCCTGAGGAAGGCATAAAAGAAGATATTAAACATTTTCCTCTAACAAAATAAATGCTTAGACTTCTTTACTTTTTCATTCTTTCTTTTGCTGTTTTGTTTTCTTCAATAAACTTGTTAAATCCGAAGTTTTCAACATGGAAGGTGCAAGAAAATTTTTTTTTTTCCTAAGGTTGAATGGGTGTCAAGGACCTGATATCTATATTATTGAACTAGGGCTCGCTGTACGGCCCTGTGACAGACAAACTATACTAAAACACACTCAACACATACACAAATGAAGCACACACATCATCTTTAATGGCCAAAGAACAATATAGCCTAAAAACAACCTCCACAGTTATGGACAGTCCCTCATCCAAAATCCCCGGGCAGTGGCAGCAGTTTTATTTACCTATCCACCCCGGGCCATTCCCATGGATATACCAAAGGACACGATTCCACCTCCTGTAGTGCAGCGCCAACTAGGCTACGATCTTCGCCATGCGAGACTCAGTGGCACACGCAGGGTGAGTGGTTCAAGTATTAGCGGACGATGTCAACGACAGCATAAGATGCAGATAACCCCCAAAAATCCAGGGACAAGAACACCTACCTAAACATGGTACGACCCCAACACAACTGTCTTAACATACTATCAGCACACGAGGAATAACAACAGCTAACCAACACATACGACGACAGCGTTAACACTACACAACCTATCTGTCAATTCCTAACAAAAAAATACAATCGCGTCTCTCAAAATGTCCTCATCCTCGCCGTCCCTTTCTCCCCCCGTTCAGCTCCGGTTCAAACGTGTACGTTGCACCAGTGTTCAAGCATCTCGGGTTTTCCCCGTATCATCAAACCAACTGGCTGAGCGCTGGTGCACATTTTTGGTCCGTCAAACACCAACATGTAGTTACACGACGTATTGTCTATACTCTGTCCCACAGGGCTATGACAATGGGGGAAAGAGTGCACAGAAATTGTACTTGTAAACAAAACAACACTACCACATGTTTTGGGATTTTAAAAAAAGGGAAGGGGGGGGGGGAGGTAAGAGGTCTTGTCATATATTCAAAAAGACTGAGGACCACTGTGTTAAATAGGGTGGGTCATTCTGCTTTTTAACATTCCCTGCATTTCACAGCTGGCGGGACAAGCAATAACAGTGTCCATGTTTATTAGTTCGCGGATCGTGAACCACTGATCAAAAGTGTGCTGTTATTTTAAAGGTTACTGAATAATACAAGCAATGAATGGTGTTGTCCTGGTAATTGCTTTTAAGTGAGATCAAGCTGTTCTAATTACCTGGGTGGCCAGTCACTTCTCTTAATTAAATAAACATTCTTCTTCACTTCCTCTTTTACCACTTCAGGTGTTGGGGGGACACGTAAGGTTCTGCTTCTCACATTTCTGGCCGCCTCAACTAACGACATATCCTGCCACTGAAGAGTTTCGCTTATTTTCTTGGTCTACCAGGTGCTCTACATACTCCTCCTCTTTTAGTGTATACCTTATATAATACGGTATCACAAGGCATTCTCTCTAGGTGGGCAAACCATTGAATTAGCTGTCTCTGCATGTCATTTAGAATTGGTTTTGTGCCACATAAAGATTAAGGGAGTTAAAAGTGACAAGCCTAACTTCACTGCACCAGGTCTATGACATCTTGCTCATTCTTCCTCCTCAGACCAGCTTGCCACTTTTTGAGAGCATCACACACAGCATGAACTCCACAACTCCAGCAATGACCCCACAGATTTCTCCCTTAACAATTGCGCACATAAAAGATTCAGTCTAAACTAGGGCTGTACCGAATAGGGATTTTCACTATTCGGCCGAATACGAATAGTGTATCATCATCATCATCAGGTGCCTTGCCAACTGGCATAGGCGATTATGCCCCGCCACAATCTGCGATCTCCTGCAGCATATATTAGTTCGTGTGCTGACACACCTCGATGCAATGCAACAAAACTGTCAAGAATCTTCTCTCGTTGTCTTCCTCTATCCCTCCTTTCACACATCTCTCCAGTGGTCACCACGTGTTCCATTTTCCCTCTTCTGATAACATGACCGAAAAATTACGGCTTTCTCCTTCTGATGTCTGTGATTAGTTTTCTTCGGGCTTCCGCCTCTTTTCAAAACGTTCACTCGCCCGTTCATTCGATGTTATTTAAACGCAACTTTATATTCTCGTTAGCAATATCTTCAAATTTGATTTGTGCGAAGACACCCAAAAAAAGGATGAAAAATGCATGATCTATCTCTTTCTCACACACACACACACACACACACTTACAAAAGGAAAAAAAAAAGAACGCATTGCCTTTAAATATAAGTGCTTACTTGATGAGGCTAACAGTTACTATTGTACAGACGTTGTTTTCCACTTAAAAATTTCAGCCAAAATGTAATCACAATTTATAGCCGACTTTTCTTGATTTTCACCGTGGCACCCATATCATACGCACCCAGTTTGAGAACCTCTGCTGTAATGCCTTGGTTGAGCCAGCTGCTGTACCATGCAACCAGGTTGCAGTTTTCCCCGCTAAGACAAACTTAGGCAACAGCAGCTATTGTGTTAATGAGAGAGTTATTTCAGTCTATTGCAGTGTATGCAGAAATGGGTATAAGATAACCACTATTCGTATTCAGCCCGACCGCAACTATTCGGCCAAATACCGAATAGTTATTAGGTCTACTATTCGGCCCCGAGGTGAACTTCGAAGCGAATATTCTGTACAGCCCTAGTCTAAACACAAACCCACAACCTTCAGAGTGTCAGGTAAATGGCTTGACTACTCCACCACAGAAACCCCCACAAACTCACCTAAGGAATGGTTTGACAGCAGCATCATAGTCCACCTCCTGACGGAGCTCTTTAGACAAGCTGGTCATTTCCACACCATCAAGGCCGCATGGGACTATATGTTTGAACCAATCCAGATCCACGTTACAGTTCAAGGACACCCCGTGAGTAGTCACGTATCGGCTGCCATGCAGGCCTGTCAGTTCAAGGAGCAGGAAAAATTTTGTATTTTCTTTACAGTGAAACAAAAATTAGTTGCGTATCCTTTACATGCCGTTGCAGAACCACCCCCGAGCATTTGTCCGCTGCAGTGGTTTTTCTAGGCAAATTTTATGTTCAGTAGTGTGCCACTGCCCTCTGAACTGTCAGCTCTTGGTACCACTGTCGAAACCAATGCAAGACAAATCGTCCGCAGCTGGGATCGAACCTGGCACCCCTGCATTACGGAGTGCGTTTGCAATGCCTAAGCCACAGATGCCGACAGTGAAACAGATTATTAAAGATGTTGAACATTTGAATTAATGACCATTAGACATGCTGAACACATAAATTAATCATTTGTTCTTCTTCACGTTCCCCAGCTGTAAACCCAGGCAGAAAGTTTGGTTGTTCATCCACTTCCAGATTTTAGACTTCTTCCAGAACTTGAGTGTTGTATGCACATCCACTAAACAAATTTGACTTATTCGTATGCAGACTGTTGGTCCCTTACCTCTCAGGCAGATGCACTCTGACTTTGAAGAAGGTCCTCAACTAATCAACGACTATGACATGCTTGTTGGGGAGGCATGGGTCTATTCCGACATGAATTGTTGGGGAGGCATGGGTCTATTCCGACATCAATTGTTGGGGAGTCATGGGTCTATTCCGACATCAATTGTTGGGGAGGCATGGGTCTATTCCGACATCAATTGTTGGGGAGGCATGGGTCTATTCCGACATCAATTGTTGGGGAGGCATGGGTCTATTCCGACATCAATTGTTGGGGAGGCATGGGTCTATTCCGACATCAATTGTTGGGGAGGCATGGGTCTATTCCGACATCAATTTTTGGGGAGGCATGGGTCTATTCCGACATCAATTGTTGGGGAGGCATGGGTCTATTCCGACATCAATTGTTGGGGAGGCATGGGTGTATTCCGACATCAATCAATGGATACTGTTTATGTTAAACTCAAGCAAAAATGACTACAAGCAAAGCAGGTGTATACGGAGAAGAACAACACATCAAACATGTCAACATACCGATTGAGGCAATTTTTCTATCTTCCACCCAAACGCCTGTTTGGTCTGTCGTTTGTCCAGTAAGTCCAAACTGCTTTAGGGTTGTAATTAAAGTCTTCTCTAACTGACAAACATACCTGGACAATAAAGTGTTTGGTAAAACATATCTTTAAAAAAAAAACCAACAACATACTAATCTAGACAAAGAAAACATATGCTGTGAATCACTATTTTTGGGGAGGGGGTGTGTTATGAGGGCGGAAAAGGGGGGGGGGGGCGTGGACCAAACAGCCTCTTAACAAGCGGGACATAAAGGTCGACCAAATAAGGACTTGCCTAACTAGAACTGGATGTGTTGACCGAAATGCAGATATTGCAGCCTATCTGTAAACCACAAAATGTCAACCTCACTTACATGGAAAAACACAAAAGAAGTTGAAAAGAACCATCATTTCACAGACTATAAAATGTAACTCTAAACTATACCTATCAATTATACTGCTAAACATAACTCTAAATTATTCCATTTTATACTGCTGAATTTAAACTATACTGTTTTATATTGCTGAATTTAAATCTCAACCATACACTTTTTTCTGTTTAATGTAAATATAAACTAGACCATTTTATATTGCTGAATGTAAATCTAAATTATACCATTTTATACTGCTGAGGGCAACACTATGCAGCCCTATGCTTGATTCACCACAACAGTCTGTTGAGCATAAATGTAATTATAGCAACGATTTCTCACTGTCCAATACCACCCCAAACTATATCCAGAATACCATACTGTTCAACATCACCCTAAATTATACCAACTATTTCATACTGCTGGACATAACTAAACCCAATTCATACTGTTGAAGAACACCCTAATCTATACCCACCATTTTGTACTGTTGAACATAGCTAAACCAATTTCATACTGTTTAACATAGCTAAACCCATGAACATCACCCTAAACTATACCCACCATTTTATAATGTTTTAACATGACTAAACCTGTGCTATACTGTGGAACATCACTCTAAAATATACTCATCACTTTGTGCTGTTAAACATGACTAAACCCATGCCATACTGCTGAACATCACCCTAAACTAAACTCAAGATATTATACTGTTGAACATCACCCTAAACTAAACACAAGATATTATACTGTTGAACATCACCCTAAACTAAACTCAAGATATTATACTGTTGAACATCACCCTAAACTAAACTCAAGATATTATACTGTTGAACATCACTCTAAACTATACCCACCATTTCATACTGGGTTTAAAATGCTGCAGGTTAAGGATAGGATACGCTACCAGCTGCCCTGGTCCATGGAAAGTGATCAGACCACCACGGTTGGTCTTATAGAATTCTGCTCCCGTCTGCTTTAACTTGACTTCATCAACTGCCAATGGAAAACACAAACATAATACATAAACTGTCAAGGCAAGACTGAAAAAAAAAGTGTTTTCAATAGCAGGAGTGGCTGTACCATCCTTTTTATGTATAAGTAATTAATTACAAGGAGTCCAACAACAGAAACCCTAAAATTAAAGCTGATGAGAGAGGCCAAATGTGCTGGAGTGGATTCCATCCATGATATTAAAGTGACTGCACAGGATAAAGTTAAATGGAGGAACAGACTGTTAGCCAAATGTGATATACAATGGTACAACAGGACAATGATGGCGACGATAATGATGAATTAATTACAGCAGGCACATTGTGTTGTGGTTTACAGCTAGGCTGTGATATCTGCACCTTTTGAACCAACATATCTAGTTTCAGCCAATAATTAATTAGTAGCCTTTTATTTTAACAACATTCTTGTTAGGAGGCAGTGTCTGTCCCGCTGACCCAGATACATAAAACTGGTGCCAAATCATTTCATTTTTATTTTAAAAAATGAACTGGTCATCACATCTCCGGATGCAATGACCTAGCGAATAAAAAAGCCTGATGCATCATTCTCCTGCAGTAGCATCTGCGCAGGGATTAGTCTCAATGCTAAAAAAAAAAAAACATAAAATCCAGACTCACTTTTTGAGTAGTTCTGGTTTCTGATGCCGACTGTGTAGACCGGAGTGTGCTCAACCAACAAAAGCGTGTTCTCTCCATAAACATTTGGTTTCCCTGCCAGCTCATCCAGGTGCTGCCTGGCAAACCTCATCTGTGAATGAAAAATTCCAAATTTACCACATAATGGTATAGCACAAATAACATTCAACAGTGTGACAAAGTCAAAGCTGAAAGAATTGACTAGAATGCACAAATAAAACACAAGAGTATGACAAAGTCCAGGCTGAGGGACTTGACCTGACTGCACCAGGTAATGGTATAGCACAAATAATGTACAACAGTGTGACAAAGTCCAGGCTGAGGGGATCAACTTGAATGTACCAGTTTTGCTACTCATTAATAGTCTCGCCTTCTGCGCTTTTGACTGCAGTACTTCTTACTTGTGTTGCGCCTTAAAGAGACTCACAACAACACAACCTTCCGCAAACATTGTATACGGCGAGCGAATGCTAAATGACGCCATCTCATTACATCCGCACAACACAGGACAGGCTGTACAACCGGCCGTGGGATAAATGGGAGAGGAAAGAACTCTCACTGTGCGGGCAAGTTTGTGATAAGTTCCCAGATTTGTAAAACGGATGTGCACATAACATTTAAGTTCTGAAACTAGATCAAGATCTAGATAAGGATGAGCAGCCAGAACGTTCCGCCAAAGTTTACAGCCAGAGCCTCTAAGAATACACTGACACACACAAACATTTATCAATGTGAAATTTCAAAGGAAAACTATCAGCTGATCTTCATAAGTTCATGTGAAGAAAGTCTGGAATAGTGGACTAGCAAGCTCAGAGAATAGTGGACTAGCAAGCTCAGAGAATAGTGGACTAGCAAGCTCAGAAAATATTGACCTCTCTTTGGTATAAGTAACAAGATACTAAATGACAACAACTTTTTAAATGTTGTATTTGTCTATTGTCTTTCTAGAATACAACTAATAAGGCAATCGCAGTTCCAACAAAAATAAAAATAGAATGTATATCACCGTCTCTTGTAAAAAAAACTATAACAGACTTCAGTCTCGGCAAAGCCAACAGCATGTACATGCATCAAATATATAAGGCAGCTGTCAAAAGTGCCAAAACAAACAGTCTGGGAATGGAAATGTAGATCAATGTTGACTGAAGCAGCAGTTACAACAGACAAGAAGTTGTACACACAATTAATGGCATAAAGCACAACTAGCTCTCTGGAAACAGTCCACTCACCATGTTCTAAATCTGCAGTTCACAACACAAATCATACAAGGCATAGCCAAAAAGCATTCCAGCTCACAGTGTCATACCATGCACTCAGCTCAGTAGCTGGGAATGGAACTCTTTCCTTTCAGTCTACATATGGAGTATTATGCAACGGCTGACTATTGTTAGAAGCAAAAACTTGCCATGACTAAAAACAGTAAGCGTGCCTGTCCACCAAAAGTCCAAAGACAAGAACTAAACACAATACAAACATTGTCTAGAAAAAATTCATGCAGGGAAAGGAAAGATATCATTAATACAGCCAAACCCTACAACAGTCTTTATTAACAAACAAAAAAAAGACTAATAATCAACTGACAAGGACAATTTGGAAATTAAAATAAGTAATAAGAGAAAATACAGACAAGAAGAGTTAGATATTTTAAAAGCTCCGCTGAGCTTTCAAGTCAATCAGTTTGGAGTTACTACTTAATATGCTGCCTTCTGCTGGATTGAGAAACAGCTGTATATACATGTCATAATTGTAACTGACTCACAGAGTACATTGAGAAAGGGGGAGACAGGCATGCATCGTGAAGAGTGGCAAGAATCACTTTAAAGGTCCCGGGTAGTTAGTGTCCTTTGAATATTTTCTCCAGATCATTCCTGTGTATTAGGAAATGAGCAGGTAGATAGACTGGCCAGTTCTGCACCACTTAGTGTTGAACTGATGTATGACAAGCTAGACATTGTGAGGACCTTTGGCAGCTCCTGAACAGTGAGAAGGCACATACAGATCCTGAAGGTCTGAGGAGAATGGCGCTGCCAGGAGTTACCAGGGGATCTGGCCGATGCTCAACACTCAGGGGAAAGTGAGACAAATGTACAGTCAAACAGTTACTGGAACCACTGGAAGTGGAATTATTCACTTGTTGCTGAAGATAGGGACAAAGCGCGTATGGGAGTGTCCCAAGTGCTATGATGTTGATTCTTAACTCAACATTCAATTACTTGATATCAGCTTGACTAAAGTCAGTATTCTCCTCATCACTTTTCCTAACTAACTTACCTGGACATCATAGGCTGCCATAAACCCCATACGTCCCAGAGTAATGACACTGACAGCTTTGTTTGATACAGCACACATTTTTCAATCTGTCAACAGAAGAAGATTAGAGTTTTATCACACCTTCAATCTATTAACAGAACAAAATTAGAGTTCTATCACACCCTTCAATCTGAGAATAGAATAAGATTAGGCATTCCATCACACTCTGCAATTTGTGGACAGAAAAAAAAAAATTAGAATTCTGTCACAAGCTTCAATGTGGTCACAGAACTAGAGTAAAGTTTTATCACACCCTTTAATGTCTCAGGTCTTGTGAGTCCGACTCGTAATTCCAACATACCGGGATCGAAACCCATTGCTGGTTGCGTGGATTGTTATTGTGGTATGGGGTGTCGCAGGTCGACCCAGCCTAAAATGGGTACCAGGATGTATGTCCTGGGAAAGTAAAGACAGCCGGCGTAATGCTGACCAAATTACCCACCTAGTGCCGATTGGTCTGAAAAAATATGGGTGCTCTTCCCATATGCCCGATGCGCCAAGGCATGAAAAGGGATCTTTACTTTACTTTTACTTACACCCTTTAATGTGTGGGCAGAACGTACTATCAAATTCTGTGCTCTATCAAATCCCTCTATCTGGGCTCTATCAAATTCTTCAATATGTGGACAGAATAAAAATAAAGTTCTATCACACTCCTCAGTTTGGGGGCAAAACAAGATTAAAGATTTGCAACACTCTTCAGTGTGTGGACAGATCAAGATTAGAGTTCTACCACATCCTTCAATCTATGAACAGAAGATCAGAGTCCTATCAAATTCTTCCACAGATGAAAAAATAACATGTTTGTTACATCCTTCAATTTGTGTCTAGAATAAGACAGTAGTTCTATCACATCATTTATTTTATGAACAGAGGATTAGACCTGATAGTATTTTTAACTGATTATTTCTTATTATTATTAATACTTAAAGACTTTAAAAAAAAAACCAGGCAAACAGAAAACTGTCAAACTGGCGGTCAGCTTAGTTAAACAATGGACAATTTCAGAAAGTGAACCCCCAAAAAAAATTGTTTAAACAAATATAACAGCTCGAGAAGTTCTTTCTTCTCATTTTCTGTGTTTGCTAGAACCAATCGCAGCATTGTTGTTCTGTTTGTGGGTTGACTGGACAATTCTATGCTCAGTGGTCGGTACTTGCTACTGAATGGTTGGTACTTAATACTGAATGGTTGGTACTTGCTACTGAATGGTTGGTACTTGCTACTGAATGGTTGGTACTTGCTACTGAATGGTTGGTACTTGCTACTGAATGGTTGGTACTTGCTACTGAATGGTTGGTTCTCAATACCACTGTCAATTCCAACACAAGGCTGTCTGCTGCCAGACTGCTCACAGCTGGGATTGAACCCAGCACCTTAGTTATTTATCCATGTCTGAACTTTGTTTTTGCTCAAGGACTTCAGAGTTTTGGATGCACATCAGTTCAACAGATTTGGCTTAACTGTGTGCAGACTGCTGGCTCCAAGCCTCTCAGATAGATGCACTCTGACTTCTAAGGAAACACTTATCCTATCTAATCTGGCCAGGCCCTGGGGAAAACCTGTTCTAGGATGACTGCAGAAAGGTGTAGATAGGTCTGCATCAGTTTGACCCTTGAACCTGGTGCACTATCATCACGTGTGGTGGCTCCTGGGCCAGGCACTCCAAAGTAAATCAAAGTCAAGGACCGTTTTCCGTGCCTTTAAGTGTATTAGGCCAAGACTGGCTCCAGCTGATGAGCCATGCTGCTGAGGTCACCAAACCAGGCTAATGATACGTTAACACAGCGATTCTCAAACTGGGTGCCATGAGCGTATGTCAGAAGTGCCGCGGCAATAATAAAAAATGTTTCCAAATTTCCTTGACATTAAATTTGCACCGTTTTTTTTTCCCCTCCTAAAGTATACAAACCACTTTAAGGGTATATGTGACGCGACACTTTTTTTGCCCAACGAAGAAAGTTTGAAAAATGCTGCGTTAACATATCGTTAGCTCTGTTTAGTGACGTCAGCAGCATGGCCCATCAGCTGAAGACAGTCTTGATTAGGCATACAGGGCTAGACCTTAATTTAAAGACCAGCTGCACTCAGTGCGTGATGTGGTCAACATCATGCCAACCGCCTTTACTTCCCAGGACTTTACCTGGTACCCATTTAAGGCTGGGACAACCTGGTAACAAGGAGACAAGGTAATTTCTGACAATTCTAGCTCCATCATGGCCTGAACCCACAACTTTGAGATCCGCAAGCAAGCGTACATCAGCTATATCATAGCCAGGTCTTCCAAAAGTAAACAGAAATTTAAAATGACACAAATAATATTTACCAATGAATAAAAACATAGGAAGCCAAAATCGCAATTTGAAAAGAGTGAACAAAATGTAGAAAACTAAAAGTCACAATCCAAAAAGTGACGGCAACCTGTTGGTTAGAAACTCAGTTTGGTGAATAACTTCATCATATAGTTTGACAGATCAATATAGCCTTGACGTTTATATTCTCCTAGTGAGAGAGAGACAGGCGGATAAGGTGGTGTGGGAAAGTGAATGACCTGCAGGGGTGTTGGAAAATGTAATGTTAAAATCCAGCCAAAGATGACGAAACTTAACCACAAATGATCAAGGAATGATCTCTACAGTATATTTAAAAAAAAAAAATTTAAATATTCAAGTTTATAAATAAGACAAGTTAGCGAAATTACTGGATGCTAAAATGTGTACCCGTAAACAGGGCAACTTATTCTGCCTGCATCAACACTATTAGGGTAAAGTTAGTTTTAAGGAAACCACTTAAAGGTGGGGTGGAAAATGGGGCACATAACTGATGAGGTTAATTGAAAAAGAGCAAGCAGCTGGAAAGTTTGTCACTGAGTGTAGACAGCCAGACGGCATTTACCTGTTTATGTTGAAAGTTAACAGGTGCAGACAGCAAACAGATGAAAGGACAGCCAGTCATTAGGTAGCAAAAAATAACAGTTGCTGACAGTCAGACTAAGCCTAGACAATCAACATGTGCTGACATATGTAGTGAAGATAGACAATAAGGGCTATCAAACATAAGTGTAGACTAAATTATCGAGACAGTCAACTATACCCTAGACAATCACATGTGCTGACATATGTAGAAGATAGACAATAAGTGCTGACATAACAGTAAGTGTAGACAGTAAACAGTTGCTGACAGTCAGACTTAGCCTAGACAATCAACATGTGCTGACATATGTAGTGAAGATAGACAATAAGTACTGACAAACAGTAAGTGTAGACAGTAAACAGTTGCTGACAGTCAGACTTAGCCTAGACAATCAAAATGTGCTGACATATGTAGTGAAGATAGACAATAAGTACTGACAAAAGTTCAGTAAGTTGTAGACAGTAAACAGTTGCTGACAGTCAGACTTAGCCTAGACAATCAACATGTGCTGACATATGTAGTGAAGATAGACAATAAGTACTGACAAACAGTAAGTGTAGACAGTAAACAGTTGCTGACAGTCAGACTTAGCCTAGACAATCAACATGTGCTGACATATGTAGTGAAGATAGACAATAAGTGCTGACAAACAGTAAGTGTAGACAGTAAACAGTTGCTGACAGTCAGACTAAGCCTAGACAATCAACATGTGCTGACATATGTAGTGAAGATAGACAATAAGTGCTGATAAACAGCTCGTCGCGGATCGGAAGGTTGTGGGTTCGCTCCCTGGCGGAGCCGGGCTTTTTTTCAAAAATGACCTTGGCTCCCAGGTTGACCCAGCCTTGAGTGGGTACCGGGTGCAGTCCCGGGAAAGTAAAGACGGCCAGCGTGATGCTGACCACATCACCCATCTTGTGCCGATTGGTCTATAAAAATATAGGTCTAGCCCTATATGCCCCATACGCTGAATGCCTTGGAAAAGGGTCCTTTTACTTTTTACTTACTTCCTGACAAACATTAAGTGTAGACAGTAAGCGGGAGCAGACAGCAGTCAGATAGCAGGTATAGCCAGAAAGCAAGAATACACAGCCAGATATGTGTTATGAATTAGAACCTACAACTCAGAACACACTTTGCACACTAAGAACTTTACAACTGAAGTACAAATTCAACCACACTCAAAAGCAACTGGCTGTTTTACCAACAACGCACAGAAAGACATGGTTCTAACACTGTGGTTGCCCTTGTAAAACAGTTGCTTATAAGTGCGGCTGAATTTGTACTTCAATTATAAAGAATTCACTTATTTGCTTCATTTATTTAATTGCTTCTGTAGTATGCATCTGACAATATACAGCAAAATATGCCAGGCAATAAACTGTCTCTTTTGTTCAAATTTACAATGGCAAAATATTGCAGCAATATTTCAAACAGCGACCCTAGGGGACGTTATCTATTCTAAGTTAGTGATACTTAAAATTCGGTTCTCCTTTAAACTATGGCAGGATAGTCAGAGTTCAGTCCCCTGGCTACAGTGCAATTACGGAGTGGAGAAGGCAGGAATCACAAAACAAAGTGCAGTCGACATAGCTGCTAGAGCTAGACCACGCGCTGCGACTCACATTAGCGACTGCGTTCTTGCGACGCAAGACTTAGTGGCCGTAGATGTGACACCTGCAGATCTGTATGCCTTAATGAGCGATAAGCTAGCGTGGTTGCGGGGGCTAGCTGAGCATAGAGTTATAAGAAACATGCAGGTATGTGCCTTGTGCAACCGTCCTATGTCGTTAGGCACCACTGCCGCAAGCAGCACATTTTCGGCTGTTATTTGCAACTCCTGTGTCACAATTATCAGATATAGCGGCCGTCATTATGGGTAAGTACTCGACGTTACATGTGTTACCCTAACCCTAAACCAAACCCTAACCGTAACCCTAACCCAAACCCGGCTCTCCTTTAAACTACAGCCGGTAGACAAAAGTAGACGGCTGGTTAGTCAGAGTTCTGTCCCTTGGCTACAGTGCAATTACGGAGTGGAAAAGGCACAAATCACAAAACAAAGTGACGTCGACATGCCTGGCAGACCCCGCGCTGTGACTCAAATTAGCGACCGCGTTCAATTA